AGGTATTTCAAGAGATTACCTGGCCCTTACCCCGACGGATAAGGGAAGTAGTAGAAAAGATGGTCCAAGAGATGCTAGAACTTAGAGTCATTGAATGGTTGAAAAGTGAGTGGCGAAGTCCCTTAGTGCTCGTGCTGAAACCTGATAGAAGTGTACAGTTCTGTATAGATTTCCAAAAAGTAAATGCCATATCCAAATGCTACACCTACCTGATGCCCCAAATTGAAGAACTCCTGGATCGCCTAGAAACTGCTATCTATATTACAACCCTCAATTTGACAAAAGGGTATTGGCAAATCCCTTTGGATTCAGATTCACGGGAGAAGACTGTATTCACCATGCCATCCAGATTATTCCATTTTGTTTGGATGCCATTCAGCCTTCGTGGCACCCCCGCTACATTCCAGTGCATGATGGACTGCCTCCTGAGCCCCTATATAGATTATGCCACCACCTACCTCAATGACGTTGTCATTTATAGTCAACACTGGGAAGAACATCTCCAAATGGCAGTAGTCCTTTGAATTCTTTGGGATGCTGGCCTCACTGCCAGCCTGTGTCCCCCCTGCCACTTTGGGGCTGTGGACTGACCTAAAGCCAAAAACCCAGCACAGCTGACTCCCTCCAGAGAAACTGAGTGGGCGTGTAAATGAGGCAGAGTGCCCACCTACTGAGCCAGAAGGATAGGAGGCCCTCCCAGAACCGTACTGGGCTACAGAGCAAAAGAATTCTGCAGTTGTTCTGAGCATCTTACATACCCTGAACTGTTTATGAGAAAGAGACAGCAGGTGGAAATCACCAGCAACCAGCATCAGCAGAGTATAGCTAAGGAAACAAAGAGTAAGGTCATTCAAATATGAAGGGATCAGACTATTAAATGTATTTTGCATGAGAAGAGCAATCTTGTAATCAATACACTGTTTAGCAGAAAGTGCAAATCCTTCAACAAAGAGGAAATGTGTTCTGATTAGTTCAAGTGATAAACCTTGCTACTACATTATGAGCCTGCTGGAGCTGACAATTGCCTTATCAGGGAAGGCTACAAGCAAAACAGAAGTAGTATTGTGAGCTGCTATACACAAGAAAGGAGGGGAAAAGATTTGCCTAACTGAACAAGGAAATGGAACAATGACTTAACGGAGTGTGAAATCTGATCCATTAAAAGGAACACAGCTCATTTAGAGAAGGGGACTAAATGCACATCCACTGATGTCTCCAGGCTTTGTCTACATTTTTAGGGCAGTGGGGTCAGGGCACCAATGATGTGAGAGAGCTCTTCCAGCACCTCCACAAGGAAAGTAGCTAAGGCTGTGTCAATAGTAAGAAACTATTTCGAAATGACTAAGTTTGACTCTCAACTCCGGATTTAAAAAGTTCAAACTTATATGTCCTCACTCTGGGGAATCTTCAAAAATAGTCAGAAATAGTGTGTGCACATTTCATGGAGCCTGCCTTGGACTTGGACTTAGAGCCCCAGGAAGCGCTCTGGGGAGGTTGCAAGGAGGGCAGATACTTCTCACGGACTTAGAGCCCCAGGAAGCGCTCTGGAGAGGTTGCAAGGAAGGCAGATACCTCTCATGGTTGCTTGGTTTTGCAAACTGCAACAGGTGCTTACAGGGGCTCCTCTCTACGACCGTTTCTCACAAGCCACTCCTCCACTCCCTGCCCCCTTGTGGGGCAGAAAAGGAATGCAGTGGCCACGTGCCTTGTCATGTTCTGGTTGCCTGCACGGACACCACAGCGCTGCCATTATGGACTCAGAGCTGGTACAAAGCACTGCCATGCTCATGGCTCCCATGCTGTGCCTTATGGTGCAGTACTTTGAGACTGCCCACATGTTGCTCCAGATGGAACCAAGAGGACAAGGAGCATGAACCTACTGTGTGTGTGGGCTGGAGTAAGGTAGGCCTCTCTTTATGAAACTGATCGCGGGATTCCTGTGTGAGAGCATCATAGAGCTGAGTGCTCCAGGCTGGTGCTCCATTTGCACATCTGTGAACAAGTTGTTGTGTGACCCCCTCACCAAGCAGGCTGAGAGAGGAGAGCACCTCCCCCGCTCCCCACAACCCACCTCCTGATCCTGCTTGTAGATAGAGAAAGTTAGAGAACTCACCAGAAGTGCCCTCCCTGGGGTAGTCGGAAGCCTGGGAGACAGCCTGGGAGAGGGGACTGTCTCCAAGGTGGGCATCATGGCCTGCTCTTCGTCCTCCAAATCGTTGTCTTTCTCCTCCACCACCCCGCCCTCCTGCAGACTGATGCCAGGCGTGTGTGGGCTGGACTCAATAACCATGGTGAGGGAGGTAACCGGCTCCTCTTCCAGGATGGCATCCAGCTGCTTGTAGTAGCAGCAGGCATGAGGTGATGCTCTAGATCATCCATTCTGCTCCCTGGCCTTGTGGTAGGCCTGGCACTGCTCTTTTATTTTGAACTTGCACTGCTCCTGCTGTGCCCTTTCTCTGCCTGTCTGGCAGCAATCCTGCCATAGATGTTGGTAGTCTGCTTCTTGGTGTGAAGATCCTGGAGGCTGGTCTCCTCCCCCCACACCTTGATGAGATCCAGGGTTTACATACAAATGTAGGCTGGACCTTTTCTGCATCCCTGGGCAGAGGAGGTCATGGGAACAGCAGAAGTGCTGTCAGAGGGTCCAAGGAAGCATTGGGGGTGCTCATGTCTCTGCGGTCTTTGCTTGCACAGGGCTTGCGAAGCTGGCCATGTAGGGCAGACCAGTCTCCTGTTCCCAGGACTTTTACAGCTCTGCAGGAGGAGGAGATCCATGGAGACACTAGATGTGGTCAAAGCAGTCAGAGCAGACATCTGTGGGGGGCCTCCAGAGGCCAATTAGTTTGAATTAGCAGCACTGGAGTGTCCACACTAATGTTATTTTGGGCTTACAAGTTTAGAATTAGCATTATTCCTGATGAAAAGCAGGAGTACAGAATTCGAATTCCGTGGCCCGTTATTCCAAAAAAATGGGCTTGGTAGTGTGGATGCACTGCTTACTAATTTGGACTTGAGGGGGTTATTTTGGAGTAAGGTCCTAGTGTAGACCAAGGCTAACAGTGCTGGAGCCTGATTACACTAGTGCTTTATAGCACTATAACTTGCTGTGCTCTGTGGGGTATTTGTTTCTTTTTAGTTTTCCCATATTTTTATCCTGACTGACATCTGAATTCCAACATCTTGATTCTCTTTAAGAAAGAGGAGACAGACAGGGAAAACCAATGGTGAGTAGCAGCAGGGATAGAGAAGAGACAATGAGATTTATTCCAGCTTCCCTATTTTGATCAATCCCCCAAACATAGTGTAGCGGTGACAGCATGCATCAGATTACATCTTGCATTATTCCTTATGTTTTAAAAGGAAAATGCAGGGGTTGGGTCGGGAAGGCAGAAGAAATAACTTGAAGGAGAGCTTGTTAGATAATTATGTGATTATTTAAGCAAAGCTCAATATTTAAAACCATCCTCTATAACTGTGCAATCATTATTCGACAAATGATTACAACACCTGGTGCTGTGATTGTAGTTGTTATTTTGCCTGTCTGTTTTCTTGATGGTGACATCTAACTATCATTAGAAACTATATTTTTTTTGCAAATGGATAGTCAGCAGCTTGAAAGCATGCCTGTGTTGAACCTGGTCCCTGCTGACTCCATTTCTCACAGCAGCCATACAAAGACCACCTAAGGTACAGCTACAATAGCATCAAATGAGCATCTCTGTTATTACTATACCTCCTAGAGGCCCTCCTTCTGCTTATATGGGGCATACGCTCAGTAAGAGACACTTTCAGCTTCTAAAACAGACAAAGGGTGGGAGAATGGAAATCTTATTACCCTTGTGTAACAGATGGGGAATTGAGGCAGACAGAGATTAGATGACTTGCAGCCAAGAAAGCAATGGAACCCAGATTGCTCAAGACTGAGAATTTAACCACAAGTCTATTCTTCTTCCCTGAAGAAATATCATCTTCCTATCATATACGCTGAAGATTTAGGATTGGCATAATATAATTTGAA